TTGACTGGCCTCCTGCGTTAGATGGGGCTGGCTCTTACTGACTGAGGAAGATGGGTGTGCACCTTGACGCTGAGGGCTCCCCTTACCTGACGCGGTTACCCAGCGCAGGACAGCCGCTGCCTCGCTCCCCAGCGTATTACTCCACCTGATCTCACGCTCCCCTCCTCTTCCTGGGAGCCAACTAACTATTCCACAGTGGGGAGAGGAAGCTTCAAGACTGGATTCTACAGTATAAATTTGAAAAGCATGGAAGAATACGGACAAAAAATAGATTTTATGACTCCCTAAGGTAAAAGCAAGCAAGAATTTCATCCAGATGGGACTGGAAGTATGATCGCGGACCCTGCGCTGGTGCGGAGAGTGGATACAGGTGCCACATGTTTCTATACTCAGCCACAAAGACCTGAAATCAAAGGATCAAAAGTGACCCCAGAAAAGTGCAGTTCGGATGCCAGGAATTTTATTTTAATGAACAAAGAATTCAATGACCATCTGAAATAGTAATGTATTGACAGGTCTTAAAATTTTAAGACCTGTCAATCACTCACTGATTATATCTTCAAAACGGGCAATGAAAAAAATACATGATGCTACCACTTTCCTTTTAATTACCATCATTTCTTTCTTTCTTTTTTCTTTTTTTTTTTTTTTTTTTTTTTTTGGCGCAACAGGGGATTGAACTCAGGCCCTTGTGCTTGCCAATGAAGTGGTTATTCCACTGAGCCATCTCCCCGGTCCCCATCATTTCTATTCTGTATAACTTCAAATAAAAGGTGAAACTAACGTGAAATATTTTGATTATTTTTTATTTCAGAGTGACAGAGGTCAAAGAGTACCACTTTACCATGGAAAAGAAAAGTGGGTATTCCTTAGTAGTCAGCAGGACTTTAGTAGTAACAGCACAGTGCTTGCATATGCATGCAGTGAAATAATGAGCCCAAGATCTGGAGCATCAAAGTTTGAGAAGAAAAAAGTCCATATTTAATGATTTAGTTAGTCATGGCTTCTTAATAATTTCCATACTTGAATGCCTGTACCTACTCCATGGCCATTTAACTAAGAGAAATGTGATTTCTCTGGTAAAGGGCTCTGCATTCCTAGCACACGTTAGTAGTGTCTAATGTCCATCCTGTGAAATGCTCAGGGCACCATCAGGAGTGGCTCACAACTGAAAGGACCCAGCACAGTCAGACTGCACTATGTTCCAGATGTGTACGCAGGAGCCCAGAGATGATGCTTTTCCAGATACAGGGAGCCCTGACCTGCACGGTCCTTCAATGGCTTGCAGGTGAGGGCAAGGTAAGGGGACTGCACTGGCCACCCCTCATGTCAACAGGGGCCCCGGGGAAATGTGTAAAGGCCAAAGACTAAACTCAAAACAGTTAAAATTTGCTTCACTTCAGCCCATAACCAGAATTAAATACTTCTGCATGTTAATTATTACTAATTTTGTGTTTGTGACTAAACTAAACTTATTTTTCTTTGGTAAGATAAATATATATAGATATTAAAGGAGCTTTAAACTATTGCTTAATTATGACCAATGGAAAATTTTTTTAAGGGAAAGCCTAAAATTGTATTTATAAAAGTGTATGATAGGGCTGGGGAGACGGCTTAGTGGAATAAGTGCTTCCCTGGCAAGCACAAGGGCCTGAGTTCAATCCCCGAAAAAAAAAAAAAAAAGTGTATGATAAATTAACACTATTTTGTGGGCAGAAAATTAAACTTTGAAAGTAACTATTCTCAATAGAATTTTTAGTTATTACACTATGTGTGGATCTTCCTGTCTACTTACATATTGCCCTACCCACTTACTTTATAAAGTTAAGAGTGCTTTAGATTCCCCCAAAAAATAATATTGAATAGCAGCATAAGTGTTGTAACTCAGTAACTTTAAATACTTTTTCAGCAAATATTATTCAATATCAAATTTAAAAAAAAATATATGTTATTTAAGTTATATATGCTCACTAGAAAGCATACAGAATTTAACATATTGTATTCCTTTTCTAAGTGGACACAGAGTGTCCAATCCACTGTTTTATCCCATTTTCAATCTGTCTGTTAAGAAGTCATTATGCTATTTATCAATTCATATTTAATTTCCCTATAATTTCTTTCCCTAGAGGCAATATTATTTTACCTTATTTTTTCCTTGTTTTTCCTCTTCTTATATGTTAGTTTTTCCTTACTAAGAAAATTCTCACAAAAATTTTGGAATTCCTTCAACCCAATCTTAGTACTGTGTCTATGTATTATAAAAATAATAGATTGCAAATAATTCTAATATAATCCATACAACTTTATCATTTTATTTTACTACTAAATTACATATAAAGTATCATTTAAACTTACACAACTTCTTTAAGAGCAACATGCTAGGTCTATGATGACATAATTGAGAAAATGTTTTAAATACTCTATAAATATCCATACATTAATAATTTAATGTCTAGGGCTGGGAAGATAGCTCAGTGAAGTAAGTGCTTGCCTGAAAGTGTAAAGTCTTGCGTTCAATCCATGGTACCACCAATAATAATAATAATAATTTAATGACTACATTTTTATAGCTTATCAATCAGAGATAGATAACCAATTTTACTTTTATGCTTTGTGCAAATTTTTATCCTAAACAAATAATAGCGGTTTTTTTTCTTCTTTTTCATGTACTGTTTTCAATCTGGACAGTTCATCCTTATTTTTCTGTTACACACACACACACACACACACACACACACACACGCGTGCGCACAGAAGAAACCTTATCAACCAGAACATTTTGGAGCAATGTTGACATCAATTACAAATCTGAAATATAACATTCAAGGAAGAAATATGTAATTTAGAAAATAAATCTTATAGCAGCTTGAAACTGAAGGTAAAATGTACATAAAGGAAATTTTATATAATAATCCTATATGATGTAAATAACTTTATTCAGTGTTGAAAAATGTGTAGAGATTAAAAACTCCTTCAATCCACTCCCACTGATATTAGAAAGCAAGCAGTTAGCCATGGTGTCATTAAGTCTAAGAGGTAGTAAGTCAGTCAGACTTATTATGCAAACTGAAATTTCTTTGATCTGGAATGAGAAACATCTCACTGTGATTTTGGGGGGTATTTTTGCAAGGATTTATGTCTGCTCCGATTACAAATGTTTGTGTAACAGGAAAAGTGTATCCAAACCACTCAAGATTCAAGTAACACACTTCAGAGTCCGAGCAGGCCAGCAAGCCAAGCAGAAATAGAGCCCATTTTTGTTTATGGAGCACACTGCTAGGGCAAGAAAGCCATTTTCTATATTTAGTTCATGAAAAGAACATACTCCGAAGAAGAAGTTGAGGTTACACAAGTTTTGGCATTTTATCCCAATGGAGAAAATGATGAATCAACACAATTTTAATATGATAAAAGGAGATTCATCACAGAGGCACAGAAGGTTGAAACATGTTGCCTAAAAGCCTAAAATCATGGGTATGTGTATTTTTCATATACTGCCATTGACATTTACTGAACACTCTGGTATCTAGTGAGACTGCTGACATTTGATAACATTGATTGCAGCTAATTGCTTTTTTCCTTCTACTGAAGGAAAAGCTAAATTTGCACCTTTCTGTCCAGTTATTTAATCTGTGTGTCAGTTCAACTTCAGATTAACATGGAAGTGAAAAAGTACACAAAGGATTCATGAAGGAAAACAGCACATATAAATGAGTATTATTTGTGGAAAAGCTGCGTGATTGCACAGCCAGTACAGATGAACACACACACTGGGTCTTACTGCATGGCTGTGGCTTCCCCTGGATATCCACCTTGGTATTATCAACCTAGGAACTGAATCAGAAACTTAGCTAGGAACTGAATTGCATTTTCTTATTTTTAAGAAATAAACTCTTATGTCACCTGACATACACAACTCAAGAAATTATTTCAGCTGAGACTTGATAATCAACAGTACTCCCTCATCAACCCCAGCATTCCGCAAGCTGCAAACTTACTCTATTAGTACACGGACAGTAAGTATAAGAGGGTCCAAACACACTGCATGAGGGCAAGAGGGAAGGAAATGCTCAAGGACCAAAGCCTAAGCTACTAATGAGGTGAGGAGCTCGCTGCAAGTCTGAACTGAGAGTTCTCAGCAAACACAGACTACACTAGAGTGGTAACACTTTGGTTTAATGCCTTTCTTCATTTTCTCCTCCTAGCTATTTATTGTTGGACCAAAACAAGTTATATGTTGCTCTTGGATCTGTGAAGAATTTTTCCTGCAGTGGGATGAATAATTGAGTCAATTATGGATTAAATTTAATTTTATTTTACTAGAAAAGTAGTCTTCCATATTGGTTTGTCTTGCAGTCAAAATTGGAGGAAATATATAGGGGAACTGGGGGTTGAATAGGACTGATTCTTTACTATGCAAAAAGTACTCCATAATAATTTCAAGATGTTCACCTAGAACACAGATGTGTTTCCATGTAGCAGTATAGTAGTTCATTGCTTTTCTAAAGTTGATTAAAAATGGTTTAGCCAAGAAGATTTCACTTCATGCATGTTTGTTACTGTAATTAGAAAAACTTACGATTTGCAAATAAAATTCAGGTGTGGTGCCACACAATCAAACCAAGGAGAAAACAAAACCTGCCTAATCACATTCCAAATGAATAAATTGCTAAACTTGGAAGGATAAAAGAGCAAAACAAAAAGCACAAATTTGAACTATAAAGGGGAATTATGTGAAATTATATAATTTTGATCCAGAAATTCACTGTTATTGAAAAAAGTTGTGAAAAATATTCTCCTGGTTTGTGGCTATGTAGACTCCTAGTTTTTTATTTATTTAAAGCTAAAGAATTATTTTGAGATACATCATAAGCTAAGTCCTGACATTTGGGTTGAAGAAGATGTTCCGTCATAGAATTCAGTCAACACTACCTGGGCGCTGGAGATAACGGACAGAGGGAGGCCTGAAATGTTAGAATTTGGTTGGGCAATGCACTTACCTGCTTGATTTGTGGTCACATTTACAGAAACAAACTGCCGGGCTCCTGGGCTCAGGGCGGACACTCCGTTCACTGCCTCAATCTCAAAGGTATAGTTTGTGTGCGCAAGCAGATCGGCCACCATGACAGAGGTGTTGTGCAGGCCGCTTTGCTGGGGGAGGTACCTGACAGGACCGCCACACTCCTCACACACACCTGCATGCGAGCTGCACTTCTTGCATGCAATAGAATAGGACACATCTTTCCTTCCACCAGTGTCAGCAGGCGGAATCCATTCCAGAAAGACACTAGTTTCATTAACATTTGAGATGGCATTCCGAGGAGCTGACGGGGGTCCTGGTTTGCAAAGTAAAGTGAGAAAAACATATTTTAAGATGGCATTAATTAGGCATCATTTACTACACCACTTCCTTGTCTGAAGGGAAAAAATATATCTGCAATTAATTTTTAAAATTGTAACTTAAAATTGTCGTTAGAAAAGCTTGATAGAGCTTTGAGGGACAATAGCGATGCTTATGTTCCACAGTATGATTCACTTGGGCACTGTTATCTCATTAGTTTAGTAAAAGATGTTTTGCTCAGTACATGTGCAAATAATTATGGAGTAAAACTATGTCTGTACAAACAATATTAACTAAAAGTTTATTTTCTAAAAGTTCTAAATGATTGAACTGATTATTTCCTCACGGAGACCAAGAAAAGAATGGGAAGTGCTCTTTGTTAGAAGCGGGGGGCTTTCAGTGTGGTTCCTGAAGACAAATTCTGTGCCAAGTTAAACTGAAACAGCCTTAGGCCATCCCCGAGTAGACTGTATGATTACCTGATAAATCACTAACAGGGTCTGAAACCCTCTCTTCAAGGTGAAAAGCACCAAATATTAAGTAATTGGGTCACCTCCCAATCTGCAGGAAAACAGCTTTTGATTCACTATTCTTTCCATATTATGTATCTCCAAGCTTGAATTTTACTTAATCGAAAGTCTGAACTTCATTTCAAAACTCTCAAAGGCACTTCAGTATGAAGAGCAAAAAGCCAATGTCTTTTGAATGATCTGTAGATCAAATTATGATTTCCACTAATCTGCAATAAGGAAAGAAGGGGCCGGGGAGATGGCTCAGTAGAATAAGCACTTCCCTGGCAAGTACAAGGATCTGAGTTCAATCCCTGGTTCTGCCAAAATAATAATAATAATAATAATAATAATGAAAGAAATACACTTGGCTAAATTATTTTCATAAAATCGTTATATCTCAGAATAGTACAATTTCAATTTTAACCTTTTCTAAATTCATTTGTTATTTATTAGACACTTTATTTTTATCTACATGTTAATATACATTGAATGTAATTGTACAGACATTTATATTCAGAAACATTTAGGTAAGATGGAACATTTTTATTAAATTTTAGCTATGAAACTAGTTGCTTAAGTAGCTCAGACTTACTCAAGTAACAATATCCTATTTGAATATTATCTTAAGTGCTTCTGAATATAATAATTAGTATTAAAGAACTAAAATTGTCTGCATGTATACCTCAAAAGTTGATCATGAGAAGTTTAGAGTGAAATCCTCAGTCAACTATAAATGTGATACCATTAGATGCTCTCAAAGAGAAAACACATTCTCAAATTGAATTGTTTCAAATTCCCAGTTTCTCATGTTACAGAAAAATAAAATGGAATTATACTGGTATATCAGTGGTCACAGGCATGAATAAAACTACTGAAGATGATATACATTAGTTATCCTAGTATATGCTATTTGCTTTAAAAACAAAAAATCATAGTATTTTCTATTTAATATTTATTAAGCCATAACTATTGAGTAAATATAAAAGTAATAAGAAATTTTTCTACTATTTATGGATTTAGTTCTAAAAAATGACATTTGAATGAAGGAACCCCATAACTAAAGTTAATGTTTTTCTTTTTGCCAAAACAATCCTTACAATGACTATAATTATGGTTGAATACTTTGAATTTGTCCATACTCTCAACCTCACATACCTCAATGTAAAAGTCATTTTCAGTCATAATAATTTCCTAAAATGGAAATATAGAACATTATTTCTAACTAAAAGTTTTAGCTTATTTAATTCTAAAACAGTATGGAGAAATTTTAATTTGAGGTCAACTTCTCAGAAAAAGGTAAGAACATAGTCACAATCCATCTAGTTTAGAAGTGGCAAATGATCGAACTGATTATTTCCTCAGGGAGACCAAGAAAAGAACAGGAAGTGTGCTCTGTCCAAAGCGGGGGCTTTGCAGCGGGGTTCCTGAAGACAGATTCTGTGCCAAGGTAAGCCGGAACAGCATGTCCAACTGCTGTCTTTCCCACTTCCATGTTAGATATGCTTACACTTAACAACTTTCACCTAAATCCTCAAAAATGCACTGATGACTTTTCCTTTTCTTCTGACTCAGTTTCTAGTAGCTGCTCAGCACTTAGGTAGGGGCACAAAAGGCTAAGTGAATAAGAAACACAAACTCACTAATAGCTCTAAAGGAGAGACAGGAAGTAAAAGCACTGGCTTAGTGTATAATTAAAAAGTTCCAGTGTCCTCATAGTATGTACAATGTGCGGACAAAAGTGGAACTCTGAGAAGTGCTTCTTATTTAACTAGCTACATTAAACTGTAGGTTTTCTTTTGTTTGATTATTTTTAGTAGACTTAAAAAATGGTTTTTCATATTTTATGCATATATGTCTATATCTGTATATTCCAGAAAAAGTATTAAAGGAAGTTGAAACCATGAATTCATTTCCAAAGAGTCAAAGGAAAAGGCTCATCAACTTCATTCAAATATCAATTAAGCCATAAAGGACCCTACACAGTGTCTGTACACACACACACACACACACACACACGCACGTACGCACACACACGCCAACTCTTAGAGGCGTGTAGGAGTTCATGCCTTTTGGAGGCACATCCTAGAAATTCACATCCATCCAGATAGAGCGCAAAGCCTGCCTGTGGGTCCTGTCCTCAGCCAGGGCTAAGCTAGGTCCTCCGCCAAAGCCCCGCCTCTCCTATCAGCACATTTACCAAAAGGGAGGCTCACACTTAGGCCAAAAGAGAGAGAGAGAGAGCCGGACTGCTTCAAGAAAAAACTAAGTAGAAATTAATAAAATTAAATAATAAAATATGAGTCAGCAGATAGTTGCTTTTCCTTAATACACCAGTCTATGGTCCAGAAGCATTTTTCCTATTACTCAGAGACTGTAGATCTCAAGGACTTAGTTGATCATTTAAAACTGCACTGAAACCAGAGTCCACCTCCTGAAATAAAATATATCTTCCCCAAAGTGTATATAATAATGGCACTTACACATCTGATGAAGAATCATTGTTCATTGATAATCATCTAGCCTATAAAACAATCAATCTTAGGATCAACAGAATGATTTTCAATAATGCAAAGTTAATGTAAAGGAATGATTCTAGGAATTCTGAAAATACATTACACTGATTATAAAATTCAGACATGATGAGATTCAGATAAAATTTCAATTTGTGAGTATTTGATAAGATGGAGTCTATAATGTCTATTTAGCATTAGATATAAACTAATGGCAAACTTCCCAAAGTGTTTGTGCACATCTCTAAGATCAAATACTCCTTACTATTACCCATTGTTGTTAAACAAGGAAAGTTATAAAAGGAGCAAATTGTGAAGGATGGTTGTACACTTTTTACTCTTTATTTTATGTTTTAATTTTATTTGCTATAAATTGTGCTTCTGGACAAACTCTGAAAGTATTATCAAAAAGTAAGCAAATATGTAAATGTGTCACATTCCCAGAAATATATGAAAAACTAGGAAAAAGCAGCAAGTGTGTTGGCAAATGTGACTTCACTGCAGACACTTGAGTTTCATACCTGTCTCTTCTGATTATATGGCCATTAGCTATGTCATCATCAATGATAGTTAAATATATTCACAGACAGGAAACATGAGGGTTGCACTACAGTGGTGGCTAAAAATTGGATGCCATGCTCAGCTGGAATGTGGTGTGCCACTCCCACTGCTCCAGGAGCCTGATGTGTTTCCTATGTTCTTTCTTTATGACCTTCTCAATGACTTTGTGGGTCAGTGCAGCGGTTAGAACAAGATGAAGGTGCCCTTTCCTCATAATTATGTGACCAAAAACTGGCATAGAAAGAAGAAAAAACAGGTCTGGTGTGAAAAGGAAAGCAGATCTTCCAAGTTGTCTTGCCTATCAAGAGCACTAACGTAAAGAGCAAAATACAAGAGAAAATCTCAAATCTGTGCCTCGGGTTTACAGCTAGGGGAAAAGATGTTTCAAGTCGCAAATGAGCAAAAAGATTCAAATTGTTCAATGCTTACACAAGAAGACTGAAACAGGATGAAGACTACATCGAGAAGATTAAACACTACTGCTGCTGGGGGGAAAACCTCAGTCGAAGTTAACAGGCTCCGCAATGCTGTTTCTTTGAACTGGTGCAAGTGAGCGTCACCTAGAATCCGTGGGGTTCCTTACTTGTGCATGCCATTGTGGGCGGATCAGATTCCTTCCTGAAATAATCCTTTTCACAGACACAAGAGGTGGAAGCTTCCTCATGGGTGTAACTGTGAGGTGGGCATTTGCTGCAGGTCTGGCTGTGAGGCGAGGCTTTGAAGAACCCCGGTCTGCACACTGTCAAGAGAAATAAGACACTGAGCTTTTCTGGGCACAGATGCAGGGTTGTCCTGCGAATCAGGTATCACTTTGACTCGTACACATAGATCAGAGATATGACAGTCATTTCAGATTTTTTCATAAGCTTCTGAATCCTAAGTACCAGACCTAAGTACCACAGATAATCCAATAATTATTTAAAGTAGTCAAACATCTATTGAATGTACATATTTTAATGATTTTTATGCTATAAGGAGCTTATAAGAAATAATATGTATAAAAGCAAATATGTATTATATAAGACTGAAGCACCACTTTGGTAGAATTTTTGATTTCTTAATGCCGCAACTATAATAAAAATGCAAACTAGCCCATATAATCTAGAAAGGTATGCTACATAATAGGTGCTCAAAAATTTTGGTATGAAATTTGACACTGAAAGCTTCACATGTCCTATGAAGTTGGGAGAATACATAAATCAGCTGGTAGGAACCAGGCTGGCTGGTATCCTCTTGTCACCCCAGCACTGTTGGAGGGACTGACAGGAGGACTTCAGGTCCAAGCTCAGCCTGGGCAATCTAAGGAGGTACAGAGGCCTTGCCTCAAAGTAAAAGACAGGGAAAAAGGAAGGGCCTGGGGGTGTAGCTCAATGGGAAGACCATGAGTTCAATGCCCAGTAATAAAAAAAAAAAAAAAAAAGATGAAAAGGAAATGAATTAATAAAAAACAAATAAGCACATGATCTGGCATATCATCCATATTATATTGATCACAAGGAAAGCCAGATTTCAGGCATTTGTTTTACAGGCTACTCATTGTAAAATATTTCTTCGAGATCCTCACTAACTGAATATTTATCTACTGTGACATCAGTAGTACTTAAATACTGCACACACTGTAACGGCTGTCAAAAGCGGAAATTACATCTTCAGTTTTGCATTCACACCAATTATCCCACTGCGTGACAACAACATACGTTCAGAAAGGGTCGCACAAAGCAGTGTGGATAAATGCAAGGGCATGAAAAGCACTAGTGACCTACGGAGAGTCCAGGAGGACACATTCGCTGGTATTCGCGTTGCCTTTTCTAAGCTGGTGATCAGATAGGTGAGTTCTCGTGAAGTGCCTCCTTCCATTTGAAGCTTCCACAAAAATTCATTTTTCTTCTCAATGGGTAATAAATTCCAACTCCACTATTTATTGTTCATCCTGGGCTAATTACAGGCTACCAAAATGATGTTTTAAGTAGTTTTCAGGGCTTATTTTACATAAAGCCAATCAACTATATTTTTCCATCTTTAAAATTCACAGCATACACTAAAGGCTATTTATTCGAGAACCAACGAACATGTGCTGAAGCTCAAAGCCGAACGTGTATTCCAACAGACATTTCTGATAGACATAATGAACCAGGGCTAATTTCCACGCTCTATAAATGATCTCAGGTCCTAGTAATCCACGCTAATGCTTTCTGCCATCACCATGAATAATCAGGAATTGGCAAAAATAAGTAGGTCCTTTTTTCAGTAGATCTAATTATGGTGATAGTAAAGCCTTAATGCTCTTACAGATTCAGAGAAAATGCGAAGGTATTTGAAAGATAAGAAAGCTTTTTGATAGTATTAAGGACATTCTTGTAGTTAAATGATTAGGAGATGATTTAAAATATTATTTTCTCATAATAGGATTGCTGCAGCAGCCAATACCGTACTTAGCAAAGTTATCCAATTTTTCTCCTTTTATCCTGTTAATACAGTCATTCTCAATATAAACTCTATTTCTTCCTAAGTCATGAAGTATCTATCTATCCACACACTGTGCATATAAGGAGTTCACTGTCATTCGTGAAATATTCTTTTATTTACACTGAGTGCATTTCAACATAAAAACTATGACATTACATACAACGCTCTTGTTCAAATCGACCATGATACCTCTGGAAACAGGAAACAATACAAATGCAATGGAAATATAGATAATAATTTAACACATTTTAACTTTGGCCTTTTGAGATAAAATATCACTGAGATAAAATATCACTATGCAGTTCATGCTAGTCTTGAACTTACTGTGCAGCTGAGACTGACTACAAACATGAGGCAATTTTCCTGCCTCAGGCTCCTGAGTGCTTGGATTACAGGTATGCAATATCATGCCTGGCTATAAATTTTTTTTCACCAGTTGTGGTAGGGCAGAAACTGCTTGGTAATGGTTTTCAGGAGTGAGAGAGATGTGACTGTCATTACTGGGTTCAGAGTATCACACCAATAATTATAAATATTATGAAATATAAGAAAGAGATTAGTGTGAACACAAAGCACCTAAACAAAAACATGAAGAATACTTTCTTTGGATGCAATTCTCTGGTAAAATCTGACAGATTAAAGTTATTTGAGAGCAGTTTAGCAGTGCCTTAGAAGGAAAAATCCTTCCAAAGGACCACATGAGTTGAAGAATACTAATGATCTGAACAGGAAGACAAGTGAATAAAGTGGAAGAGACAACTTCATACACACAGGGGGTACCATTTCACAAAACCTAGAACAGATAGTCCCCAAATTAATGATGGTTCATATAAAATTATTAGCTTTATGAGGGAATGACAGTGGTACACATTCAGTAAAAAATATATTTTGACATTTGAATTTTAACCTTTTCCCAGGCTAGTGATCATGTTGGCTGTTTTGCCCAACACAGAACAGACCAGGAGCAGGTCCCGGACAGCCAGCGTTAAGTGCTGCACAAAATGGCCTTGTGTGAAGTGAATGTGACCAACCATGGCTCACGTAAGCATTGGCATATGCTTCAGACAGCTGCCGCTGAGCTGTGAACTTCGTTAGATCAGATGTTGCAAATGCATTTTTGACTTGTGTGGTTTCAACTTATGATGAGTTATTCAGGAGCTAAACTCACTGTCAGAAACAAATGTATTTGTGACTTCAATTTACAGGTAAAGGAAAATCACTATAGATTTCATTAATTTCAGGCTTAATATATTTACAGTAACTGTCTAGTTATATGGGAAGTAATGAGGTCAAATTGGTAATGAAGAGATAATTTCATAGCAGCATGGGAATAGACTGGAGGAAGCAAGATCTTTTTGGCTTTCTGTTTTCCTTTTAAATACAGGTCCAAAAACAGACATTCTTGATTAAGAAGAGACACTCTGATATTTAGATGCAGATAGGAAACATCTAAGGAATGAGAATGAGGGGAAAAAAATGAATGAGATTTCATGATACATGTAATGGTTCAAAAGAGTGGGTAGAAAATTGTAAAAATTACTCTAAAATACATGGAAATAACTGAGTAGAAAAGTCAATGTCATTTTTTCAGGTTAGAAAATACTAGGTAAGAAATAGCTTTATGGGAAGGTAATGGATAACGTTGAATGCATCCTTTAATTAGAGGTGGTCAAACAAACAGAAAGACTGCAGTTGAATACTATCAAATCATAAATCCAAATCATAACTCCAACATGGTGAATAAAATTGTGCTGTACAAATATAGCTTAGCTATTCTCTTAGTTTCCTCAGTCCCTAACACCTACGTGATTCACTTGGAACTGTCCCTCTTTCTTCAAATTACCTACAAGATGTTCCTTTGTTACTACTCAGTTAATGCACTTGTCTCTGTGTTGAAAAATCATCAAAGCAGAAGAAGAACTTCCTTATTTGAAACCAAATTTCCAAACTTATAGGAAAGGTGTGCACATCTCCCTACTGTTCTGTTAGAACAAAAATGTGTCCTAAGTTATATGAAAGAAGATGTCTTTGCATTTCATTGTTCTATGCTTATGATGTATAATATACACAGTCATCCTGAGGACTGGTACAAGTTCCTATCACACCTCAGTTCTTTCTACTACCCCTTTCTTCTCCCAGTAACCATCTCTCTAGTCTCCAGAACCCCTTTTCTAGCTCCTCTAAATCTACCTCCATTTTCATCCACCTTTTATTTTACTCTTTAATTTATTAATATTCTAAGTTTCTCATGCAGTCTTTAACCTCTGATGTCTGATTTATCTTGGTAGCACTATGCTCTCAAGGTGCATCTGTTTCTACCCAAATATCTCAAAGGTATACTTCTTTATGGATTCATATTCCACAGAGCACATGTACACATTTTCTTCATACATTCATCTATTGATTAAAATATTAGATTTAGGGAGCACCCTTTCTGGGTTTTGAGATTAAAACCTGAAGAGGTCTTTTCGTGGCAATGTGAAAATGGATTGCAGAAAGCAAGGATAGACTCTACTGACCCTTTCTGATTAAGTGAAGACAAAACGAATGACAAGATTATACTCCTAACTGATCTCGGCCTCTGCAGATCACCCGTTTCAGTTTCCCTTGAGAACAGCGTTCTCCGTATTGCTTTTCCGTACACGTACCTATCGCGCCCGATTCTACAGCCAGCTGGCGCACGCCGCAGAATCCGCTGCACGGGCGGCATTACCGCGGCGCTGTCGCCCTCCCAATGCGTGGCTCTAGCTGCCTGTTGGGAACCTGCAGTTCTTGTCCGCAATAAAATGCCAACACAGCACACATTTCCACACATTTAAAAACTCTTCACGCGGGGTCTCTTACTCACTGTTTTCATCCAAACGAGTTTAACATATTTCTCCCTACTTCTTACCACTGCAGGGAAAGTGTTTCAAGAAAGAAAAAAAAAGTATGAATGAAATAATTTAAAAAATAAAAAACAGGCTCATATCCCATCACAGAGGACTTAAATGTATTCTGAAAGCACATGAAAGACACTGGGTAGTGCTTTTGCTATTACTATTGTTTGAGTGAACACATTCCGCTCACACCGTGGCGGGTACGTTCCGCACTGCAGTTAGGAGATACACAGGATTGGTGACAGCGGTGAAGCTACAACGGACTGGCGATCATGGAATATAAACAGGTAATCAACAATCAAAAAATCAGCTTTTTACATTTTAATAAGTACAATATTTAACAAATATTTGTAAGGTAAGCAGTAATCTTTTTCTAACTTTCAATTTGATGTGT